GCGTGGTGCCAATGCGCACCACCATGCCCTCAGGGCTACCGGGGTCTATGAGGACCTCCTTGGAACCTTCCACTGGCTCCAAGGACCTGGTCGACCTCTTGGGGTTGGGTGCATCTTCAGCGACCTCCTTCCTGACGGCCACAAGCTCTCTGAAGGCGACGATCGCCGCAGCATGATCGCAGCACTCGACCTCGCACTTGTAGGCGTGATGGAATGAGGTGCCGATAGTGATGACTCCACTGAGGCCCAACATCTTCAGCTTGAGGTAGGAGTAATTGGGGTCGGCCATGAACTTCGCGTAGCATGGTCGTCCTAGAATGGCGTGGTAGGTTCCGTGGAACCCAACCACTTTGAAGGTGAGGGTCTCTGTCCTGTAGTTGGATAGACCCCTGAAGGTGACGGGTAGATCGATCTACCCAAGCGGCATGGCCTGCTTTCCAGGCACAATGCCATGGAAAGGCGCTCTGGTTGGCTGGATGCGCGCTCGGTCAACACCCATAGCGTCAGGCATCTCGGCGTACATGATGTTGAGGCCACTGCCTCCATCCATCAGTACCTTGGTGAGCCACTTCATGTCGACGATCAGGTCGACCACGAGTGGGTATCTCCCCGGTTGTGGGATGCTCTCTGGGTGATCGGTCCGATCAAATGTTATGGTGGACTCCGACCACCGGAGGAAGGTAGGCATGGCTAGTTCGGTCATATAGACCTCATGGCATGCGACCTTCTAGCGACGCTTGGAGTCGTAGGCCGCCGACCCTCCAAAGATCCTGAGGTAGCCATCCGGCATCAGAAAACCACCGTCCTTCCCCTCGGCGTCGTCTGTGGTCGGGTCGGGGTCCTTCCTATGTTCCCCTTTGTTGGAGCCTCTGGACAAGAAACGCCTCATGAGGCCATAATCCTTGTACAGATGCTTGATGGGGAAGGCGTGGTTTGGGCATGGCCCCTCGAGCAGCTTCTCGAAGTGGTTCGAAGTGCCCTCCATGGGCTTCCGACCACCCCTGTGGTCGGCGATGGCCATGAGCGAGCCCTCGCACCACTGCTTGTTCTTCTTCTTGGTAGGACGATTGGAGGCGCCCTCGCCGGCATAGTTGTCCTGCTTTGCCTTGCCCTTAAGACGGTCGAAGATTGCTCCAACTGCCTCTTCGCCCGAGGCATGGCTGGTGGCGATGTCGATGAGTTCTTTGGTGGTTCGTGGGCTCTTGTGTCCCAGCTTGTGAACCAGGGACTTGTAGGTGGTCCCAGATAGGAAAGCTCCTATAATATCGGCGTCGGTGACATTAGGTAGCTCGTTGCACTGCTGGGAGAACCACCGGATGTACCCACAGAGGGTTTCTCCGACCTTCTGTCGGTAGTTCTTAAGGTCCCATGGGTTCCCAGGGTGCTTGTATATGCCCTAGAAGTTCCCTACGAAGATCTCCTTCAGGTCCGCCCAACTTTGGATTCTGTTGGACGGAAGGTGTTCCAACCATGTTTGTGCCGAATCGGCTAAGAACAATGGAAGGCTGTGGATAATGAAATCGTCATTATCCGCACCATCGGCTTGGCAGGCAAGCTGATAATCCTTGAGCCATAGTCTAGGGTTCGTCTCCCTAGAGTACTTTAGGATGTTGGTGGGTGGTTAGTACCTTGGCGGGAAGGTAGCGTTGAGGATGTGACGACCAAAGGCCTGAGGCCCCGGTAGGCCAGGACTTGAGCTTCAGTCCTCACCGCTTTCGTAACGTCTACCACTACAAGGGTGACAGCGATGGCTAGCTCCCTCTCTCGGGTCATCGTAGGTACGCCTATGGGCGTCGAGGGTGTCGCCGAGACACTGATGCACTAGGACCGTGGTGCGCTGCCTGCCGCCTTGCGGCGCCTGGTGGACTGATGCGTCCTTGCCACGGCGTTCTGACGGCGTGCGTTGGCTAGCGTCGAGCTCACGTCGCCGAGACAACGAGCTCTCGGTCTACTGCGCCGCCATACGCTTGAGCAGCTTGCGAATCTCGTGGTGGGCCTGATGATCCTCGGGGGTCGTGGCCTCCGGAAGACCATGGAGGATGGCCACCACAGTGGCGATGTTCTGGCTCACCCGGGCGAAGCGAGGGAGGGCTTCATCGTCCGCGATGATCCTCCGGTTCATGTTGCGGGCCATGGCGCGCGCGCCCACCATCTCCTTGGCGCTCGATCTCTCGATAGAGCTTCGTGTGTTCCTTCTCGAGCTCTTGGTGTTGGCCTTTCAGCTGCTCCACCCGTGTGCGCCCACCGTCTCTTCCTCGGCCTCGTCGCCAAGTTTGTTCATCGGGGTAGCCTCCTCTTCGAGGATGCTTTCGACGTGTCCCTCAGGGGTACTTGCCATAAAACATTCACAAGAGGGGTGGTGACTCCCCCTGCTAGAGTCAGAGCCGAAGGGCGACTCCGATGCTCCTACGAGGAGGTCATGAAAAGATTCCGTGACATATTTGGTCACCCCCACAAACCCGTCGTTCGCCAGGGATGAAGGCACATGTGGCGGCATAGGATGGCCATCAGTCTCTATGGCATTGCAGAGATCGGATGGAAGCGCTATCGGGGTGCTCTAGATGAGGTATTCTGGAGAGAGTGGCTCCCCTTCGGCGAGCTGCGCCATGATGTTGTTGAACGAGAAGGTGAGTTATCACAAGTCCTCCTGGGATGGCCGGGGTCCCAGGAAGGTGCCAAGCTGACGCTCGAACCCCCCGTGGTCGAAATCGAGGAGCTGGTTGCTTCTGGGGTGCGGGCCCTTGGTGCATGCAGCCACAGCTCCTCAATCGCCTCGGTGATTGCGTCGAGGCTGACAGAGAGGAGAGGTTGGACGGCGGCGTGAGCCATTGCTAACTCTCTTCCCACCGTGATGAGGAAGTCCAGGTCCCCAAAGCGCATGTGTGCGCCTGGGACCTAGCCGAGGTTGTTATTAGCCATCCAAGGTCTGGTGTTGATGTTGTGATGCGCAAAAGGCCTCTACCTAGCGTGCCAACTGTCGGTATTTTGAGTAAACACCAATGAGTAAATTTGTATTATTGCACATCTGGCCCGGATGGCGTGCTAAGAGGACACAAGGTTTATAGTGGTTTGGCAGGATGTCCCTACGTCCAGTTTGTTGCTACTGCTCGTGTTACTAGCACTGAAAAGTTCGTAGTAGGGGTTACAAACGGGAGAGAGAGGGACAGGTCCCAAGTCTCTGATGGAAAGATCGAATGGGTGCCGAGAGCTCGGTCGCTGCTCAGCTATGTGTTCGAGGTTCGATGCTAGTGGCTTTGCTGTTATGCGATGTGTTGTGCGATGCGGTGAACCAATGCCCTTTAGCGAGACACCCTGCTTTCCCTTTTATAGGCCAAGGGAAAGCACATGTTACAAAATGGGAGAAAATAGGAGAACGAGAGGCGGAGGAAGTCCTTCAGGGTCGCCGGCCTTTCTTTTCCTCCGTGCGGGCCCCGCTGACATGGCAGGTGGCGACAGGGACAGCCCCACACCGGGCACCTGTCCGCTGACACTGCCATGCCTTGGCGTCGTCAGTGGGCGTGACGTCTCGCTCTGCACCGGTAGGCGGTGCGGCGAACCAGCGTGCTGGTCAGTGGCTGTACAGGGAGTGGGCAGCATAGTGACCACGCGTTCGTCACTATGGGCGATGTGAGTTCCCTGGAATGACATGTCGTGGGGACAGGTCGTGCTGAGACGTGACCGCTCCCTGCACGATGCCAGAAGTTTGACCTTGAGTAGTACTTTTCTAGCTCGTAGTGGTTGGCGGCGGCGTGAGCTTCCATTAGGAACCACGACTAAGGGATCGTGCGAAGCGGAGCTAGCCCTCAGACGTCGGGCAGGTGGAGCCAGCCCTCGGACGTCGGGCAAAGCGGAGCCAGCCCTCAGACGTCGGGCGAGGCAGAGCCAACCCTCGGATGTCGGGCGAAGCGGAGCCAGCCCCAGACGTCGGGCGGGGTAGAAACAACCCTCGGGGATCGGACGAGGCTAAGCCAACCCTCGGGGGTCAGACGAGGCTGAGCCAACCCTCGGGGGTCAGACGAGGTGGAGCTCGCGTCCTTGGTGGTTGGACAAGGCAGGGCCCACCAAGAAATGTAGTCGCGTTCTTGACCTCTCTTAGTGTTGATGGGTATTAGCTCATCCACTTCGGGTACCCTACTATTGGTCCCCGACACACCTTTTCGATTGTGAGTCGCCAATATATTCACGGTTTCTGTTGTATCCAAAGGCTTGTAGGGATCATCCAGGAGCTTCGTCGGTGATCAAAATTGAGAGCTTAGATTGTAGCGAATTCGGATTGTTACACTCAGTTCCAAATTATAAGTCGTTTTGACTTTTTTGGTACATAGAATTTGTTATGTATCTAGACATACGTTATATCTAAATGCATAACAAAATAGATATAAAAAAAAGTCAAATCGACGATAATTTGGAACCGTGGAAGTATTTAACTATACAATAGTATGAAAATTATGGTTATGATATATATACAAGTAAATATTTTTGGGCTTAATAAGATGAACTACCAATTTTTATGGGTCCTCATATTAAGTCATAAAACTCGATATTTAAATATACCAACACTTGGATAGCATGAAAATTAAGGTTATGATATATTTTGACTAAATATTAATGTTTTTGTTATCATTTTCTCTCTCCCATACTTTTATGAGTTAGAGTACTGTGTTAAGACATGGTGTGAAGTTCGATTCCAAGACAAATTGAAACGCATGACCCAATCATTGGATAAAACTTCAAATGTCCTTGACCTATATGAATTCGAGTAGAGTGCGTACGGACATGTTATAGAGTTCGATTCAAGATGAATGAGAACGTATGACGCGATTGTTGAACAAATCTTCTGAGCTTCGTGCCTTCCAAGTGACTAGACCATAAACTATACGTACAGTAGCAACGCACATACATTTTTTCTAGTAAATATATAAGTATCTAGCAAAGCTAAGTCAAAACCTAGCTGCAAAACTGTACTTGGGGTGGTTGAGTCGATGGTGATTCCTAGCTAACTAAATCCTGTTTAGCGCTTGAAGTATATCATCCATGAGATCCTCAAACTTCTCAATTCCAAAGCTGAACCTCACCATGTTGTCCTTGATCCCATTCTTGGCCTTCTCCTCCTGGCTCCGTGCCCAGAATGACATGACCGCCGGCTGCTGCACCAGGCTCTCGCACCCGCCCAGCGAGGTCGCGATGAAGGGGATTTCTAGCGCATCGACAAAACTCATGGTACCATGCAAGTCCGCCTTCAGCTCGAAGCTGACAACGCCTCCGTAGCCGGACATCTGACTCGTTGCAACCTGATGCCAGGGGCTGCTCTCCAGCCCTGGGTAGTGCACCCGCTCGATCTTTGGGTGGCGCTCTAGCATGCGTGCCATGCGCAGCGCCGTTCTGTTATGTGCCTCCACGCGGAGCGCCATCGTTTTGAGCCCACGGATGACCATGTATGCCGCGTTCTGCAAAAATTATGATTTGTCTTGGAGTTAGTATCGCACTATATATCGTTAGCCGCTGGCAGCTCCAACGGTTAACGGTCTAGATCGAGATGACGTACCGGAGAGATGGCGCCCTCGATGTCGTGGTGCCAGGCGCGTATTCTGGAGATGAACGCCTCTGAGCCGCTGACGCATCCAGCGATGGCATCATGGTGGCCGGCCATGTACTTAGTGGCGGAGTGCAGGACATGGTCGGCGCCGAGGGTGAGCGGCTTCTGGTTGATGGGCGACGCCATGGTGCTGTCGATGCACACCAGGGCACCCTTCCGGTGACACAGCTCCGCCACGTGTCTGATGTCCACGCACTTGAGCATCGGGTTCGTCGGGGAGTCGGCGTAGAAGAGGATCACATCGTCGTTCTCGTCAAGAACGGCCCTAAGCGACTCCATGCCGTCGTCGAGGTCGATGAACGTCGACCGGATGCCCATCCTGGAGAGCTTTTCACGGATGAACGCGCGCGCCTCGCTGTAGCAGTCGGTGGTGGTGACCACGTGGCCGCCGGGCGGGACGAGGGCGAGGAGCGTCGTTGTGATGGCGTTCATGCCGGACGACGTCACCAGGGTCGCCTCGGCTCTCTCCAGCGCGCTGATCTTGTCCTCCAGGACCTTCACCGTCGGGTTGCTGTAGCGCCCGTACTCGAAGCTGTGGCGCCGGCCTTCCTTGAAGGCTATGAGGTCCTCGGAGCTCTTGAACCAGTGCGTCGTGCCGCTCACGATCGGGGTGGCGATCGAGTCTGTTTCTGTGCCAGTGCCACGCCCACCCACGTCCGCGCCCTTCTTCCCGAGCTTCTCCCCAGCGTGCACGGCGAGGGTCTCGTCGGAGGCGGGCCTTGCCCTTGGCTGATGATGGGCGTCACCGGCGGCGGCGGTGACCAACTCTTGGAGCAACGACTCAGGTGCAGCTGGGCACAAGGCAGCGACGCGCTTGTGCCTGGGAGAATGGAGCGGTTGGACAAGGCTGCGCTGGTGCCTCGGGAGTGAGCTCGACTTGACAAGCCTGCTGGATGGAGCCATGACCGAGCTTGTGGTTGTGGGATCAAAAACTCAAACCAAAGATTGGATCGGTGTTTAATGGGGGCTTGTCTTGTCAGTCCGCTGCACAGGACGGAGCTCAGGCAAAGACGACGATGCGGTCGAGCTTATCGGTTAGTGTGTGTTCTGCTGCCTCGCCTACCTCCGAGCCAAGCATATTTATACATAGTTACATACCCGCGTGAACTATATTCACGCGTGGGCGCCGCTGTAGGTGGGGATTATAATTTTTGACATGAGTTTCTTATGCTCTATGATGATGAGTCGAAAGCGAGTGTAGCATATATATCGTGCTCACTTAATTAACAAACATGTAGGAACAAACCATGGGATATCGTTAGTAGTAATTAAATCGAGGGAGCAGTTCGGCGAGGTAGGAAACACGGCGATGGGAGCCGGCAGCCCTTGAGCCGGCACCAATACACACGTCGCCACCAACTGACCGAGCCCGTTTGCGTCGTTGGAATTGAATTCATTCTAATAATTATAATCTAGACATAAATTAATTAAGCTAATATAGTTTTATACAGAATATATTTGTATATTATATATTACATTTCTACTGTGAGAGAATGTTCTCGAATCTGTCTGACAAATACTGGTGTTGTCCTCTTGACCAACCTGTACTCGTCCCGACCGACACGAGGCCTACCTCCTCTTCAGGATCTTACGGCTGAGTGACATATGGCAATAAAATAATAAACTAATACGTGACTCTATGTATAATACACAAAGCTTACAACTGATATTAAGATATTTGTAATTCAAATATATCATGTCATGGGATGAAATTACAATTCAATTTAAAACCCCTTCTAAGTTTGATCTCTTCTATTCACTCTTACACGATCATCAGAGTTAACTTGCAGCTCACATTGGAATCACACATTCCAAGGTCTACAAACATCATCAAGCCGAAGTACCTACAAACAACTTAACGGCGGTACCGTGAGTACATTTCGTACTCGCAAGACTTAATTAAAATATATAAATATTTGGTGGATGCAAAATAAGGTTATCAGGCATTTGTACATTTGCAGAAAATCATGATGTTGATTAAGGAATGATATGCTCATGATTCATATTTAAACTAACTAGCATATATACCATCAACAAAGATTACAATGGGTTTAGAATTAAGAAGAACTGATGAATCCGTCCCAAAGGACTTCAGGCTTTCGAATGAACTATGCAGAGGTGTACAGCTGTGCCCCCACGGACACCAAGGACGAATCTTCATACCCGTGTCCGGATAAGGGTTGCCTCAAGGTTCCAACCTTTCCCTAATTCGGCCAAGAGTGTTCAAGAAACGGTTGATAAGTTCCTGGGCAATGCTACCACCATCTACCCGGCACCACCCTCATGCCAGTTTCACGAACAAGCCGGTCGCAATTAGTTACTTAGCTTATCGCCCCCATTTGCGACATGTGGTCTGTACTGGTGGTTGCTTGGACTCACTGTCCCAATGAACAATCCTTAATTACTCCATGAGCTATGTCACTTAAGATCCCACACTCACAGTGATCTTACCCCTCGCATGAGTATAAATTATCAAAATTGATCATTAGGTTGAGTAACAAACTAGAGTGGGTCCTTAGTCCAATTTGGAAGTTAGGTAAGTTGTCACCCTTACAAGTTTTGATAATTAATTAGCCTAGTGTAGCATCCTACACGTGTGAGAGTGAATTCCCTTCTCAAACTTGACTTCTAACGGAGCTAAAGCATCTAAACATTAACGAATCCTAACCCAATTGTTGAGTGAAGGCTAGGATTAATTGAGTAGTTCTAAATTAATGAAGCACCATTAAGTTGTTAATCATATTCATATGAAATGCAATGCAAACTCATAATGAGACAAATAGGTATCCAAAATAGGGCTTAGAGTAGTGGGGTGCCTGCCTAGTTATGTCGTCCCAATGACTAGGAATGACGATGATGACTTATACACACTCCTCACACGTTAATTGAACCTGAAAGAGACGATACGAGGATTTGGAGATAACCGCATGAATTGATAAGGACATAAAGATAGAGATCGTGATTTGGGACTAAGGAAGAGACATCTAACTGTGCTCTACTATTGCATTATTTGATATCTAGTGTGATTAAGGTTTGATGAACTCTAGGGTAGGGTTCTAGACAACATTTACATCTTCTATTATTCAGCGGACACTCCGGTACATGTGGTGGACACTCCGCTGGGGCAGTCCCCTAGACCAACAGTCTATGTTTCGGCTCTGAAACGTTTGATGGACCCTCCATCACAAGCGACGAACTCTCCATAACTTGCAAAATGTTCTGTAGAACGTTCTGGTGATTTAGGACTTAGGCATTTCTGGTACGTTAGTCATCGACGGACGCTCCGCGCCAATTGACTGACACTACGGTAAGAACTAGGAGTTCTCGGGTTCTAAAAGTCCAAGTTTATAAATCAACAGAGTCTCCATGAAATGTCATGGACACTCCAATGGAAATTGGGTACTCTTGGGTTCTCTGGAGATTAATTTTATAAATTGGTGGACCCTCCGCTGGTTGCTTCGGACACTCCGTTGAATTGCACTGAGGGTGTAAAGGCTTTATTGCTTAGACTTTGGGATCACCCGACTCTCCGTCGGTGTTCACGGACACTCCGTCAAGCGGGTGACAGAACCTATGTTCATGACTTCTTGGGTGAGGGTTTGGTGATTCACATCTAGATGTAGGAATAAGGGCTTCATGCATGTGCAAGATATTTCTATAGTGGTTTAGGTAGCTAACTAGGCTCAAGATACCTAGGGTTTAGGCTTTGGTTAACAAGTGCAACTAGTGATTCCTAAATTAACATAGAAATGCTAAACAAGAGAGATTGAGAGATTGAGATTGGGCATGGCAACTTAGCTTGGGATTTTTGTGAGTCCCTTGTCACCAAGATTGAAGATTGAGCACTTGCCATCCTTTTCCATGCTAAAGAGGTGGATTCCAAGATTTCTTGCAAAAAATTTCCATGAATCCATATGAGAGAAAAATTAGAGAAAACTTGAGAGGGTTGAGTTGTAGAAACTCATGATTCTTACTCTTGGGATGATGAAACATCATACAATCCTCATGATCCATTCATGCAATGAGAGAAACTTGAGTTAGGGTTTGAGGATTGAACTCAAGATAATGAGAAAAGAGAGTTCTTGAGCTAACCATGAGATGAGACATTGGTGAAGCTCAAGGTCTTGATCCATAGCTGATCTTGCTGCCCTTTGTATGCTTGATTGCTCTTCTCTTCTTCATTTTCTCCACTTTCTCACTCTAGTTCATCCTTTTCTTTCTCTTGTTCTTCATTCTAGAGAGAGAGAGGGAGTGAGTGGAATGAGAGGGGAATGAGTAGAGTTGAGGTTCAACTGCTGAGAAATATCTCCAATTCGTGCTGACATGTGGGCCACACCACATAAATGGAAAATAGCTCACTCTCCACTCAATTTGCTATCTCTGTACTTTTATCAGACTGTCCGGTAGAGATGGTGGACACTCCGGTGATTCTCTATCTTGGAAAAATTGAGTTAATAAGGATTGGGGATATTAGCATTGGGGCCAGTATTAGGATCCAATATACAATGTACCACTTAAAGATAGATAGGGAACCTTGATCGCATTTCTCAACAGATACTCCCTTGATACAAATTCTGGGTTGACCATGGGTTGACTTGGTAAGCTTAGTTAGGTTGAAGCATGAAGTGGAGAGCTAGCCAAGCTAGAAATATCCAAAATCCGATGAAATCTCACTCGAGGTCCTTGAGAAATTAAATTGGGAATTTCTCTGAGGGTCGTTGTTGAAAGCTAAAAATTGGAACGATAATTGGGACATTACATCTACTATAGGGGAGCGAGTTAAAGAGCATGCTATAAGTTAGAGAGTAGAAACATAACATGATGATCTATAGAATCAATTTCCATCTCCCACCCTATGAATTTGATATAGGCTTATATGTGAACCTGGGAAAGTTGTGGAATGTCAAATTCCAAACCAAATAACCTAATCCATTAAGTAGATTCAAATTCCTCCAAAATGAATGGATCCAAATGGCCCCTAAGAGAAATATAAAGGAAAAAGAGAGAATCTGGTTGGCAAGTTTGCAATATTCTCTTTTCCGATAAGGGAAGCTTATCAATATCAAGTTTGTTACATCAAGATGATACAAAAACTTTCAAACACTCCTGGACTTTGCATATATAATCATGATACACACAATCTTATAGCAGATTTCTTTTGAAAAAAATAGGCACACTAACAACACAATAGACTATACTGTCATCCGTGTGCCTAGATAAAAATTCCTTGGCCACTTGCGCTAGTCGTTGAGATGCCACTTGTTGGTGTTTTGTAAACCAGACTAGTAAATTTATACGACTACTGCGCTACTATAGTAAGACGATGATAGCATCCAAAAGACACGAGAATTTATACTAGTTCAGGCCGGAGCCCTACATCCAGTCTCAGATATGATCGAGTGCGTGTTCCTCACTTGAATGCTTTGAAGTTCTTACAATGGGGGTGCAAGAATGGTGGAAGAGGTTGGAGCGCTAGAGCTAGGAGATGGACTGCCTAAAGGGATGCTCCAGGAGCCCTACTACGATGGAGAATGAGTACAATGGTAGAGGATATCAGAGAATGAATCGAGAGGATGCCCTGGCTGCCCTTATATAGAGTTCGGGACCAGTGCATATATAGAGTAAGAGGTACTACTGACTGAAGGGTCGTGAGCCTAAGGGAGGAGTCTAGCTAACTTGGCTTGCAAGCTATGCTGTCTTGTGGAGCATGTCTGGGCATGGTTATCGTCATCGACTTGTGCCCACGTCGTGGTAAGGTGTGGCGTGGTGCTACTATGCCGGTGGTGGCAGCACTGTAGGCATGGTGGTGGTTCGCCAACCGTCCTGTGCGACATGGTCTTCATCGTGGCCTTCGTCATTGCCTCCTGTTATCCTAGGGGTGTTGTACAAGAGTCGGTAGCTAC